CCTGCACGGTCAGATAGCGCGACGGGGACTATGGGATATGATCACGCTACACCGGTAATAAAGAGACGTCTCGTTTCCAATCAAGTTCAAGTCCATGCGACTCAGTTTCACGTCTTTTATTGGAAAGACTGCCAATAGCCTTCTTTGGAGAGTGAAAAGGCGCTGTAGGTTTGGATCTACTAGTTGAAAGGGGTTTATTGGAAGGAGCAGCTTGTGTCTGGATAACTTTATAGAAATATATGCATAGCGAATTATGCATACAGAGCATGTTACTAAATATAAATGTGATGGTAAGGACTGCAAGGACTACGATAAAGGTTCTGAGAGGTACTTCTTAAGAACGGTAATCCTCGATAGTATATAGACATATTTTTCTAGTTCGAAATAACCTATTGCGAATCATTCATTTTTTGAGTAAACAAACCTTACATATACTACCTACGTTTATTTACTATTTGGGCAAATTCGATGCCGTTACATTGTCCTATACCAAATTATGTCCATCAGTAGCTTACTGAAGAATACTTCTAAAATGAAATGTTAATCCTTCATTTTCTTCTAAACCAAGTGTCGTTTGATAACCATAGCTCTCTGATTAGTATTCTCGAACCGCTCCAAAGATACTTTTTTAAATTCTTCACTTCGTAATTTTATGAACTACTATTTTGCTTACTATTATTTTAAAATTATATATTTTTTTAAATACGTATTCAGTACGTTTTTGTACTGTTTAACTGAGCAGGCCATCTTCTTATTAGTAGATACGATTAAAATTAATTTGGGGTATTTTTAAAATTCCGGAAGCTTATGGCTTATTTCTGAACTCAACAGAAAGTCATTCGCGACCCCAACGATACTACAAGTCTGCTAGTATCAAAATGTTTCTTACCGCTGAAAGACCTGGTAGCGAAAAGCTTATAATTAGCTAATAGGTTGATCCAACGTACGCAAAACGTCTTGCTTTGGGCAGCTTTAACATACGGTATTTTCTGGGCATATTCACACAAGGACAGGATGTATTTAGAATGTATAGTCTGCCGGGAGGCTACTTTGGAAATAACTACATGTTACCCTAGAATATATACCTATATGTGACTATGATGTTTGATCATATTCTGAATCCGTTTTGCTCGACTTGATTGAAGAGGGACCTTTGGCTAGACTTTGGCTGTAGCTGACAGCTGCATCCTCTCGCTTCTATGTTTAAAGCAACCCGCGGAAGCCTCTGACAGTCATTTGTTTTGTGTTTAAATGGCTTATTGATAGATTACTGCATTCTGAGGCGAGCAAATGTTTTTTATATTGTACTCGAATGATTGAATTCAACAATATAATGATGAGATGGCGCAATCCATCAGTGGTACCGTAGCTATTATGTCAACGTATTGCAAGCAATGCCGTAGTCAGTCATACGTTTGGATATAATTCGTAGTTATACTATAATACACGAACGTGGCACATGTGCTTCTACTTATCAGTGAAGTTGTTTTGCATTGTAAAATGTGGGTCAGTCATATTATTCAGAATAGAATTATATATATATACAGCTTTTAGTTCCATCGTTTGGAAACTAAAACGGTTCAGGCACTACTGGCCAGGAAATTGTCAGCGGAGTCTTTCCATCTCTCGATTCCTGCAAATTTTAATCTCAGAGCTCATAGTAGGATACCTTGATTTTCATCTCTCAAATACTAGCACCTTTTTTTTTTCTATTTACTGATGATTTGTGAAGCAAAGCGAGCGCAATCTTTAAAAAACGCTAAAGTCAAAAATCTTTCGATTATTATATTTGCTTTCAAACAGACGAAGTCAGAATTCGTAAGATGTTCCCACCGCCTATAAACTTCGCCGGCTTTTGATTTCTCTGAGAGTGAGTTAAATTAAAATGAGTTAGGTAGAAGAAAAAATCTTCTAAACACGACAGACTTGGCCTTCACGTAAGCGGGCCTGTAAACCGGATCGTCACTCCTCAGAAAAGTGACACTCATTTGTTGCATTAACAGATATTGCTTTCTTTTTTGAACAAATCCTTCTGTCCGAACCTGTTTCCTAGTTACTATGGGCAATAATATGTAAAAATGCTGAAAAACACATAAACATCATCTGCGTCAAGACATGAAAGTACGCGATTCATTTAAAGGTGTCTATGGTCAACCGAGAGAAGAGATCGCTTGGTCACCATGGAGACAACAAATCAACACGCCAACGAGAATGACGGCCGCAGCTCTGAGAGATTGTTGCGAACATGGATTTGGCACCGGAAAGCTGAGCATATCAATGGCCAACATCATGAAAATGATTGTTGCTATTGCTGAACACAAATTAGCCCAAGCAGAATGAGAACGTACATTTCTATATTATTATATTTACTTACGTAGGATGAAAAGGATAGAAAGCACGTACGATATACACCTTCACATTGCTACGAAATTGAGCTGTTTCCTGAAGCAAGCTAATCCCTTAATCTTCTCTGTCAAATTAGAAATCGACGGTGTGCGGTCAAATATATCGCCCAAACGCAGTGACCCATATAGCCCCATCTGATCGTAGCCGGTATATTACCTAGGATGGTAACGTAGTATAACTCAATGAACGACTTTTATAAGGGAAAAAACGTTTTTTTCGATTTGTCGTATAATATATTATTCTAGAATAGCCGAAGCTACCGTTAATTCGCTTTTGTGTAACCTAACAAACGTTTGATAAAATGCAACAATAATTAATAAACATTTCAACTGCTCTAAAAAATCAGATTTAGTTGGACAAGGCCAGCAATCCGGACTGTGTTAATTTTTGACTTATGTACGTCTTGAAAATGCTAGATTGTGTATATATTTCGCTTTATAACGTTATTATGTTCTTCTATTTCGAATTATTTTTTGGGCCAGACACAAAAGTGGTACGCTTCAACCGAGCGGTGGAGCCGACCAACTAGGCTGGCTTTTAGGCCACATTCTAGGCCTGCATACTGAATATTATGGGTTGTTCAAATATGGTAGAGTGAATTAGTTGATTTTGTGTATCAGTATGCTGTGAATGCTAATGTCCTGACGGTTTGCTAAATTCATATCGATAGCTATGTGTATGCTGAAGATTATAATCTTCTCACTATTGGTTGTCCAGGTATACGCTTAATAAGAATTAAACACGACATGCACATACACACACACACACACACACGACTCGTTCGATTACTACGACAAATCTTTATTCTTCCTCATTTTAAACACATCTTAACTTGCAAGCTAAATAAAAATCCTTAAAACTTACTAAACAAAAGGAATCCCACAATTTCTGCATGGAACTCGCCGTTCGGCGGACAGATCCACTGAATGTTGTTCAACGAAAATTTAGCGAAGCCCTAAAGTTAGACGGAAACAGGCTGAAGTAAGGATGGGCCAACTGCGAAAACAGGGATTTGTTGGGCTCATGATAAGGCTTAGTGGAACAGAATAAACGACTCGGTACATATTTATCCCGACAGCGGAAAATGACGACTCTTATCAGAATTCACAGTATGTAGATGTTATATATACGCGTTGATTTTATAAGCAGTAATAGTTTATAAGTTTTATAAAAAGTAATAGTTTGAAAAATCAACTTGTAAATTCGTACGTCTCAAGTTATAGTAGGCTCAAGTGCAAATCGATACTTTTATCGTTTCATTGTAAAAGGTAATGCGTGCACCCTAATATTATGATGTCAACAGGCTGTATGGTCAAATCGGATAAGGAGCTTTTTCATGGGACTATAATATGTTGTTGGACAAAAAGAAAATCAGATGACTGAATACCCGTTTGCTTTCGGTATGGGTTGTAAACACATAATTGAGAAAATACGCTTGGTCGAAAGCAGTCTGTCTATGACATGGTCTGCTTAGAACGCGGCTTCACCCTCTTCTTCAGACGACCGACTTTCTATTGGCCTCAGGTCTTAGACACGTCAACCCCAAACAACATGGCTGGTCGTCTCTTCGTTAGCAATACCGTTAGTCAAGTACTGCGATGTTCGCTCAAAGCAGTCATAGGTATACTTATCAATACTCTCTAACTTAGGAGTACGTCCGAGAACCACTGTGAGTCAGTCAGCCGAGAAGAGAATTCCTATTAGGTATTTTAATAACAAAAACTGGGCATGACAGTTGCCCCTATTTTTGCCTGCGCACAAAGTATAATATCCAAACGCATGCCTATGATTGAGCCTCGAAGTTTTTTTCTTTAGGCAAATGTTCAATGAAAGAATTTTCGCTACTGCTTTTAAACTGCCGAAACACAGACAAGAACCCCGTTTAAAAAATTTGAATTTTTTTTACCGACGTAACTTAGTAACATCCGACGATATGTGCCAATCTCATGCCGCTTCGAACGATGAGCTTTTACTTGTTAATTTTGTGACATTTTCCTAAGGTTTCTCATTTTTAGCAGCCGTCTGCTATAATTCTCGTGTGACAGGGCTCGTTCTTTGCTGTGTCGTGGTGATAATGTTGAATTGATTACCGTTCCTGGCTTTTAGGCCATCGCCTGAACTTATATATACATTATTTTTCACTTCCTCGAAGTTTCGATGCGAAATATGTTTATTTGAAAGAAGAGTGCGAGCTTGGGGCATCTCTTGGAAAAGATGCCCATTTTCCCATAGGAATGCCCTATAAATACTGCTGTACGGAATAGCCATTTTTCAAGCGTTCCACCAGACAGTCAAACTTATCGTGCGTATTCTACGTGAATATGCTACGGGAACCTAGTTTTCTATGGAGAAAACTTGCATAAGTTCAATGATTCGCCAAGTACGAATATCTACATGCGAGAGCTTCGCGTGCCTCACCATTGCTTGCTTATTAGTACTTGTCAGCACACATTAAAAACATTTATAACAATGATTATAACATGAACATCATTTTAAAGTATGTAATAATTATATTCGGTATTCGTTTATTTGGGTAATTTGTTATTATGTTTGTCGATGTTATATATATATATTATTTGTTATTCTTTTTTTAGGATACATCAACCATATATACACAAAAACAGTTGTGATGCGGTCCACTTCGAGTAGATTGACGGATGTGTCTGAGAGATTAGGGTCGATTTGCGCGTACCGTCAGTATCAGGAGACTGAAGTCGGAACACAGGGTCCGGCTTGCTAAGGAACCCACCTTTAGAATTAAGGCATGAAAGGGATGTGGTTCATGGAAGACCTAGGCGCTCCGCAGCCTGAACTTACCTGCAGCCTTTATGGGGAATGGAATGAACAAAGTAAGTGCATACCCTAACCACATAAGTAGACACATGATCACGATTCGCCAGATGATCGAATTAAATTAGATCTACACAAAGCAGCTTTTCAGAAGGACCGCAATACTTTCGTAAACCTTTAGTTGAAAAGCACCATTAGGATGAGTGCAACTTTTCAAAAAATTAAGTTAAGATAAGCAATTTATACAAACAAACATTCAGCATATTTGCTCATATTATAGCTAGCCTATAGCAAAACACCTGAAGATTAGTTGCGTGGACCAATGTGGCCGCGGATTTGGCTGCAATGTATTGCTCAATATTCAACCGGTAGAGCTCCTTTTCGACAAGAGGATTTCGGTTCTTCTTCACAATTCTCCTATTTCCTATGGGCTCGGAAGGCGAAGCCCGGAACGTTAAACTCAGTTCCGCAGGGATTATTTTCTCGATTTGTCTCTCTTATATTTTGCTCCAAGTTAATCGGGATGTTCCGTTAACAGAACTGTGAATTGGCCGGAAGTCGGTGTCACTTCAGTCAGATCCAGGATTTCGCTAGACGAGTATATATATATATATATATAACAGTCGCTTGTTAGATACTTAAGTCTCGTGTGACGGAGTAGTCGGAAGCATAGTATCTTCAACAATATCAGATGCATAAATTTTCTCGAAAATGAAAATATAGATGCTTTGACAAAATAGATCAGGAGCTTATTCTACGATTAGAAGGCATGCCAAATATTGATTTGTCTAAGTTACTTTTTAAGGCATCTTAAAAAGAAAATGCCATTGAATAGCTTATATCTGATAGAAGATATCTGTCATCGATAGCGAGGTTTAATGACTGTGCATAAAAATACATCGTATGCGAGGGTTAATTAACGACGACACGAAGCGCCCGTCCGTAACTTACTTTTTCTGAACGCGTGTGAAAACTGTTTTGTACAAATGATCAAAACATTGAGCGTAACGAAGTAGAGCAGTCAAAAAAACTCACACGGCTATTGATATGAAGAAACAAACTCCTGTCGGACATAGAGTTGAACGACTACCCGCAACTTTTGTCATTAGCATTTAAAAGGGGATCCGAAGACAGTTGTTCCAGCAGACGCTTAAGTTGGTGTATGCGATTTCTGTGTAGGTGCGATGTTGTTTACAAAATATTCGTGTATGTATTGAGCGCGAGCAACGGATCGATAGATTGCCATAACGCAACTAGGAGACGAGCCATGATAGCCACGTTTAACTAGCTTTATTCCTCTAGAATAGTTAAAACTGTTACATAATGCATACCGCGCAAATGGGCTCATAATTCTGTAAATCTTTACACCGTAGCGAAGCAGCATTACAAGCTCGAAGAGACAGGTTTGTTCATTTACGGATTCACCAAGCACTATGCAGAAATGCTTATTATTAGGAAATACACATCTCTCTAGCTGGACAAATAGCCTGAAGTCTCGAATCTGTTCTGCAATAAACCAAGCCTGCAAAAAACCTTCAACACATGGCCCCCCAAAAACGTCCTGCGCGCGGGGATGACGATATTATTACCATCAAGTAGATTGGGCTTCATTTATGAAACTCGCTTACATGAACCGATGATTCCAGCTAGAGGATGAGAACGCTCTCGCTCGGTTTAAGGGCATCTTGTGTATGATTGATTGGGTGGGTGGGCGATTCAGATCGTTACGACCACGTAATGCACGTTCCCTACATGCAGAGGTGACGATGTATTTTCAGAACGCGAAGCCCAACTATGCTGCCTATGGAGTATGACAATATTGCATGTTAATATTACCCTATAATGCAAGTGATAAAAATGCGGAACAGTTTTATTCCAAATGGAAACGGCAAGCTATGTTTAGCCATCATTAGAAATGGGTAACTACTATACATTTGCACTAGAAGAGTTAAGAAAATCGTATAAACGTAGTATAAAAATAACGTGAGTGTAAAGTGCGGAACCGTTGAAGGACGCTGCAGATACCGCGCTGATGCTAGGTAAACGGTTGACAACGATTCGAGGATTACTTATATGCATGGACGTAGCATTTTCAGCCTGTGTCATGGACAGTGGCCCTAAATATAATAAAAACGGCTGAAATGGCAAATCTGTTGCCCTCTTTCGGGTGCTTAACGTATCCCATTGAAAATTATCCTGTTCTTACTTTTCATTGATATCCCGCAGCGAGTTACTAAAGCGGTATGTGAAATTTGAGCAAATTCTGTCTGTCTTGGAAGCTACATGATCTTCGTATCATGTGTTTAGATTGGATTTAGATTCGACCCAAAGGTCTATGCATTAAACGTGGCCACCTGGATCCTCGTAGTGAATTCTGAAACTTATCAATTTGGAAAGAGGTCACGCGACTGTTGTGCTCATAAACTATACCTAGAAATATACATAACCCCCTAAATTATAGTCGTCGTTCTACGGCCACAGATGGATTATAGATAACGGAGCCGAAAGCAACGTACTACGCGTGTACAACGATTAGCAAAAACTTCATTGTGGACTGTGGAATATTTTGTACAACATCGGCCGCTCCCTTATTTAATAAAAACCCAAAGCTCTTATGACCAGGTAGTAATTTAGTGCGCAATAGTGGAACTGATAAGACATGAAGGCGGGTACGTACGCGTCATAGAATCATTAATTTTTTCGGTTTCATTGAGGACTGTCTATACGGAATAATGTAGACTAAACCGAACAGCTGTCCGACAGCCATGCTACCTAATAAATATAATTTAGGGCAGCGCAATAATAACATCGCTACTTAACTTACTGACAAAAATGGAAATCAATAAAGCAGAAATTGAAACCACTTAAAGGCTCTATAGACGCCAATATATCCATCCGTTTTATAACCTTAACTAAATAAGAAAATAAACACCCCTGGGGTTCACCATAAAAGTTTATTCTACCTTATCATGATAAATTTTTCACTCGGTCTTTCCACCCGTGCGCTAATTCTGTTCCTGATTTTCATCATTGCTTCAAGAGCATTGATCAAATTTACTTGGCCATGCAGTGTAATTTGTTTATGTACACATCACAAACGCACAGCTTATTATCGCTATGTACATATGTGCAGCTGATCGCTATATTCTATTTTGACGCGGTACATGCGCAACAATGTGATCTCGTGTCCACCACCTTGTCTTGCCTATTTTTTTTATTTATTTTTTTTTTTGTAATAGTACATCTGTCAAAGTTGATTGTGTGTGAGGCGTGGAAGTGGATGATTCAAACTGAAGACTTTGTAAGTATTATACATAATATTGTATTTTCCTTCTTCATTTTATATACTTTTAATACAAAACTATTCATGAGTGGGAACTTTTGAGGGTACTAACTAAGATGATTATTCGTATAATCATCACATATCCGTTGTGTGGTATTACCTAACACGACCTCATGCTATAATATGCTTGTTCAGACAACTAAAACGCAGCTGAGACCGAAAACCGTACGAAACGTAGAGAATGATCTATCTTCTTTGTATGCATTTGGCCCTATCAAAAGCACATACAATAACTGAACGACAAAAGGGACATGTCCTCTTCGATGCATAGCTCTATAATATTAGGCCTAGAATGTGCCCAAGCACACGATTTAGGCCTCGCGTGCCTCCCGAACCCTGACACGGAGCTTTTCGAGGCCAGCTTAACCGGGGCTTCACTGAAGCGCACTGGACTGGACCGGACCGTCAGGAAACGGTACGAGGTATCTGCGACTCTCTTGGGTCATCACTGTTGCTAGGTGCAAACTGATAGTGTTTCTTCAAAAGAGCATAACTACAGGTTTTCAATTCGAAAATTTACTTATATCACTGGATAATACTTCTCAGTGATGCTTTAGACGCGAAAGAGCAGTATCCTCAAGTAGAAGGCTGCTGCTGCTGGCCTGCGTCGCGCTCTCTGAAAAGAAACACTACAGAAACCGTTAGCTCGATCCTACGTCTTCGACATTCATAGGCCAATATGCTACTATGCAGTATATCACATGGATAACGTATGCGAAGGCGCATCGTACAACGACTGGAAAGCAAACGACAATTTAAAAAAAGGCCTTGGACAGTTTTATTTTACGCGTAACTCCACCTTCGTTGGATGTAAGTTTGCCGCCTGCTGCTAGCCAAACTGCCTTATTTGGAGAATAATGAAAATATCCATAGGCAGTTATCTTATAGCCTAATTTTCTAAGATAAAGCCAAATTAGATCATAACTTGACTTTCAACAAAAGAAGCGGATAGAAACGATTACGAATCTATCTATGCATAATGTATTTTAATAAATAAACCCATCTCGAACCTGTGTGTATCATATATAGCAACACTTTCTACTTCGAATCTATATTTGTGCCTATGATAAAAAGACGTCATTTGAAATCAAGCGTCAAATCTAGTTAGAGGGCAATTGTGGCATTTTAACAGATTTGACCGAACCTACCATCTATTACGCTCCTCCCTCGCGTAGCTCTAAGGGTCAAAATGGGGCAGATTACGTGACCAACCGTCACCTTATCTCGAATCGGGTCGACGAAGGTAGTTGACCGCCTTCATTCCACTTCTGTTGGTAGAGGAACGTCAGCCCGACGAAGCAGTTACAGGTTGATAGCGTAGGTGCACGAACGCTTAAAGGCGATAAAAGTTTAGGTTTTTTCGCTGTAGTTTTTAAGCGGAATTTAGCCAGTGCAGTTTCTAAAAAAAAATGAAATGGTATATTCTAACGAAGGTGTTCTTGGTTACAGCATAGCGAATTAGGCAACCTTCTCACGAATAGGGCACACGTAGACGTATTGCCTTTTATAATGGTACCTAAAATGTTACTTCGTTAGGGAATTGCAGAGAGAACGAACAAAAATGCGCCAATTAAACATTTGTCATATAGATTAATAAAATCATGAACTAATATTATAGTGAATTTATCATTTTTTATCATTTTCTGCTGGCGACTGCCTCTAGTATGGCTGCTACTGCCCATTAGCACTACTGGCAACGTGCAACAGCAGAGAAAA